CCACTGCCCCACACCAGAGCACCACGGTCCTGTCGAGCTTTGCCCCGGCACTTACTGTGTTTTACGTACTTCTTCTACTGCTCTTACGTCGACTGCCACTACAGTGTGTGTTGCCTACAATGGCACCTACTCTAAGAAGTGACAGACAACTAGAGAGCAGCCCAGTGACGCGCCCTGCGTCACCTCAGTAAGCTGCCCCCCCCGCAGTTAGGCTCGAGGACCAGCGACTAGAGAACCGGCCGTTGATAGACTATAACGGCATTCTTACGCACTACAAAGCACTTTGCGAAAATGGAGACTACCCAGCATCCACAAAACTGATCTAAACCGTTCTGAAAGTTCTAAAATAAATTACGATTTTAGCAAATTTGTTCTAAAATTGTTATAATTTACCAAAGCACGTGTAAAATACCACAATACACTAAACAAGTCATTTTCGCTTACCAAAGCTGAACCAGTCGATTAGCAACCTGCACCCCGGCGCAGATCGCACATACCTGAAGCTACGCGCTGACTGGTATTGGCCGCGGATGGTCCGTACAATCAAGAAGTACATTGCTGATTGTGAAGATTGCAGACGGAATAAGCCTCGATTGACGAAGCCACCTGGTCGATTGGAGCCTCTTCAGATTCCAGAAGAAAGATGGCGTTCGATTTCAATGGGTTTCATTACGGACTTACCAGACACGAAGAGCGGGAGGATTTCGATTTGGGTTGTTGTGGATCGATTGACCAAGCGTTCGCATTTCATCGCGACAACGAAAAGATTACTGCTGAAGAAGTTGCAACACTGTTTATCGACAATATTTGGAAGTTTCACGGTATTCCGCAAGACATCGTGTCCGATCGGGATACCAAGTTCATCTCTGGGTTTTGGAGTCAAATTTTCAACAATGTTGGAACCAAGCTCAAGTTGACGGTAGCATATCGGGATCAAGGCAATGGTCGAACGGAGAGAACGAACCGAACACTGGAAGAGCATCTCCGCTGCTTCGTATCTCCGCGGCAGGGCGACTGGGATACGCACCTTGCAAACGCAGAGTTTACCATCAATTCAGCCGTCAACTCGAGCATCAAGATGTCTCAATTCGAAGCCGACATTGGCTACGTTCCCACAACCCACTCTCTGCTGTTGCTGCGACAAGTCGTCAAGGATTGCGCGGAGGCCGGCGTCAAGGCGTTTAGTTCGTGGAACATCAAGCAGCTGTACTTCTCCAGTGTCAAGACGCGTTAGAAGAAGCTCAAGCTCGGATGGCCGACGTGTACGACCGTGGGCGCAAGGAGCAGAAGTTACAACGTCGGCAATCAAGTATACCTCAGTACGAACAATTTGGACGCGGCACACATAGGATTTCCCAACTCGCGTAAACTAGGTCCCAAGTGGATTGAACCTTACTCCGTCATGCGCAAGGTACATCGCCACGCGCACGAGATCAACTTACCGCCCGGGCTCAAGCTACATCCTGTCTTCAACACCGGCTCACTCAAGCCGTACGAGTCTCCGACACAGCTCTCGCGACCTCAAGAGGTAATTCTACATGACGGCAGGGTTGGACAGATCGTGGAAGCAGTCATCAACAAGCGTCACCGCAAAGGAACCGTACAGTACCTCATTCGGTGGGTGAGGCGAAGGCGACGTGGGAGCCACTGGAGAATTTACACCAAGTGACCGATCTTATGCAAGCATAAGACGCCGCAGAGATCAAGAAAACGACAACAGCAAGTGTCCAAGGATAACAGAGTATTTCAACGGACCCGTCGGTAAATTAAGTTACGGTTCAAGGCATACTGAGTTCAACTTTTAAGCTGTCTGGCATGCTGAATTCGAATTTTATACAGATATGCAGTCCGAGGCTATCCCTACCTACGAGCGAACCAGCAACGGTCGAACAAACTGGACGTATCAAAGCCAAGGGTAAGCGAGCTCGAGAAGTGGCTGCCGGTGGACATCGCGGTCAGAAGCAAACCGACCGCCGGTCGTAACTTCCGGCAAGAAGGCGTGAGAGCGGCGGCAAGGTCCGGAGTGATAACCGGCGCAGAGGTATACTCCCGGAGCGAGCAGAATGTGCTCGAGCGCGAGACAAGCACCCGGACCAGTAACATCCTGTTGACGTTAATTCACTTGTAACGTGAACTCACTGAGTTTCGCGCTACCAACAGCACGCATCGCTCGGTTGCGAGCGCGCACAAAAGAGAACAGTGTAGTCCACACCGCACCATCCGCAGGAATAACTCGACCAGCATCTACCCGCGCAGCGTACAGGTCTTCAACCGCTGACCAACAAAACCAAGAGGAGGTTTCGAGAACAACCGCACCTCGGTCGAGGGCATGGAAGCCGCAGTGGCCATCAGCCGAGTCGCCAATCGCGAAAGCAAACGAGTCGGAACGTGTAGCAACATACTCTTCGAAAGTTTAGGGCCCACCTTCAGCCTTATAATCATCAACCAGTTGCAGATATTCGCCCAAACCATCCTCTTCCAAGATCCAACGAGCCGTATACGAGACTTCAGTGCGCCCAGGAGCAACGATGTACCTCACTCGATAGCGACTCGAGAAGGTTACAGCCATGGTAGGGGATCCAGCTCGGTCGCTGATGAGCCAGATGTGCCAAGTCGCGACAGTAGCAGAATTCCGAACCTCTCGGACAGTGCGGCGACTAACCAAGGCAGCAAGGTTTCGAGGCCGGCGTGGACCTGTTGATCGACGTGCGTTTTTGTCGCGTCCTAGGCATCTAGACGACCCTCGTAGTAAGCGAGTCGTGGCGCTGCCAAGAAGCTGTGACGAGACGACTCTGCACGGATATCAACAGCGACGAGCTCTCCAAACGCAGTTATCAGCACTGAACAAAACTCCGGGAGTGGCAGCTCTGTGCGAGCTATCGGGAGCAACAGCAGCAGGATAAGACACGAGGACGGAGCCACTGCACCGGAAATACAAGACAGTTAGGATGTTGAAGTTCCGATTGATCAAGTATGAAGAACCATCGAATGAGGGAGGGGTGAGTGTATCGAATAATCAAAAGTATTGAGATAGAGAGATATCATATTAGAGATTTATATTAATTAATAAAGGGGATCTCTCAACCTACTGCTTGTTGGGAGCAGTTGGTCGGGGAGACCAGCTCACTTCGCTTTCTCCCCGCCAGCCCCAAGACGCTCTCTCACCTCTACCAATTTAATATAATACTGGGGTGATCAAACTTCAAGAATTCACGGAACTTGCGCAGGCGAGCCAGTTGCACCACGTTCATCGTTGTTGGTCTCAAAGTAACCAGTTGAACCACGTTCATCATCGTTGTTGGTCTACAAGTAATTCGTGCAACAACATAAGAAAAACAAAATAGGTACGAAGATGACAAAGCTGACAGCGCAATCACCGTAACTTACAGCATAATGCTGTGGGGTTTTGTAAGTGGGGCAGCTTTTGACAGTAGCATTTGTGCACTCCACTTCGTCTGATCTGGATGACTTGGTGCTTTCTAGGCTAATAGTAGCAAAAACAGATAGAAGCACAAGTGTAACAGTTTTTACGACATCCAGTAGCCCAGTTGAGCTCTTACAAGTCTAGCCACATGGGTGTAAGGCATCGTTGCCTGAGCTTCTGGAGTCTTGATCCCGAACTGACGAATTCGAAAGCGAGCACCATGAAGCCTACTTCCAACTTTCAGCATTCTCCTGAAATCTACTGCAACTATGGTGCCATCAATCTGGCGGCTTTTGTGGTCAAGTTGAAGTGACCCGACCACTGACCCAAAAGTGGGTCGCTCCACCCTGCGTCCCACATCTGGCACGCCAATCAAAATGTACACTCATCTTGAAGTACGTGTATCAATCACCATATCCCTCCCTTTCATTCGTCAATCCCTCTCCATCAAGCTCTATAGCCATGGTCTCCATCGGCACTCGCTCCCCCGTTTACGGACGTCATGGAATGGTGTCGTGCTCGCAGCCTTTGGCGTCCGAAATCGGACTGCGCATCTTAAAGCAAGGAGGCAACGCTGTGGACGCCGCTATCGCCATCGCCGCAGCTTTGAACGTCACGGAGCCTTGTTCCACCGGCGTGGGCGGTGACTGTTTCCTGCTCTTCTACGACGCCAAGACCAAGCAAGTTCGAGGCCTTAATGGAAGCGGTCGCAGCCCGGCAGCTCTCACTGCAGAGCAGGCGATCAAAGACCTCGGAGAGGACGCTACAGTGATCCCCAGTGGCCACGGCCACGCTGTCACGGTACCTGGTACCGTTGCAGGTTGGGTGGATGCGGTGGAAGCCTGGGGGACACTGAGTATGGCGGAAATTCTCAATCCTGTCATTGGCTTGGCACGCGAAGGATTTCCCGTAAGTCCGTTGACTTCGGCTAGTTGGGAACGTGGTAAGAGTCAACTACTACGTGGTCCCAATGCTGCTGAACTGCTGAATGCTGACGGACAAGCACCGAAAGCTGGTGAGATTTTTACGAATGAGAATCTGGCGAAATGCTTCGAAGAAGTGGTAAAGAACGGTAAGAAGGCGTTCTATGAGGATGGACGTATTGCACGAGCCATCGTGGACATGGTAAAGGAGAAAGGGGGCGTGATGACGCTAGAGGATCTTAAGAACCACAAATCAACGTTTGTGACGCCCATCAACACGAAATTCCAAGGTGTCGACGTGCACGAGATACCCCCTAACGGACAGGGGATTACGGCGCTGTTAGCGTTGAATATCCTAACGCAACTTACGAAGGATGGAGGGCTGCCACCGCAGGGTAGTGCAGAGTTTGTGCACTTACAGATTGAAGCTCTTCGTCTTGCTTTTGCGGACGCCAAGTGGTTCGTGAGTGACATGGAACACAACACATCGCTGCCTGTAAAGGAACTACTGAGTGAAAACTACGCTAAAAAGCGTGCAACTTTGGTGGATCGTACGAAGGCAGCAATCGATCCGAAGCACGGAAGTCCGGAGTTAAGCTGTGATACAGTGAGTTTCCAGGTCATTGACGGCCAGGGCAACGCTGTGTCCATGGTCAACAGCAACTACGAAGGATTCGGTACGGGTCTTGTACCCAAAAATTGTGGTTTCACTCTACAGAACCGAGGCTGCAACTTCGAGTTGCACGGGTCCAAAATGAATCACCCCAATGCTCTTGCACCGAACAAACGTCCGTACCACACGATCATTCCTGGGCTCTCTACGTTTGCCGACTCTGGAGAGCTACACTCGAGCTTTACAGTCATGGGCGGCTTCATGCAGCCCCAAGGTCACGTCCAGGTTCTTAGCAACATGCTTTTGCATGGGATGAACCCGCAGGAGGCGCTTGATGCTCCACGTTTTAGCATCGATGTGGACCGCCCTACCAAACCTGGTAGAAGCGATGGCGGCAGCTCCGTCTTGGTTGAAAAAGATCTCGGAGCGGACGTGATTGCTGCTCTTCGTGAAAAATTCGGCCACAACATCCAAGAAGTGGAAGGGTTCAAGCGCACGACGTTCGGTCGTGGCCAGATCATTCTACGTGATCCAAAGACTGGAGTGCTGTGTGCTGGCTCAGATGGACGTGCGGATGGCTGTGCCATGGGCTGGTAAGCTCTCGTACTATACCGAATTAGGAGATACTAAAGAAAACACCCTATTCGTACTGTAACGCATTCTCATAGCTATTTATGCATTGAGAGGTGCATTATTGACGAACTCCACTCTAAAATTTCTAAGTCGAGTTCCTGTTGCCAAAATGATGATAGCAAGGCTCCTGGATGGCTACGATGAAGCCGCACGCGAAGAAGAAAACAGTAAACAGTCTCAAGCCTCTGCGTCAGCCTCAACTTCAACAGAGTCGTCTTCCCGACCACCACTGCCGAGAGTCTCACCGATATCATACACATCTCACGCTATGATGATACAGCTTCAGGAATATCGATCTCGAGTTCGAAGTGCGTTTGAATCAACCTATCGCCATCCACTTACTGCGTCAAATACCCCCAGATCGCCACGTAAACGCGATTCTCATAGCGGGAATTACTGTCGAACGCGTGTGCTCGAGTCATCCCGACTGCTTTTCTCCAAACAATCACGTAGTGCAGCGCCGGCCGCGTCCATCGCAGCCTCTTCTCGAACATCGATTAAAGGAGGTGGCGTAGCATTCCATCGAACAACCACGTCATCGCGTGCATCAGCCAAGTCAAACCTCTTTGCACTGGGTCCAGGACAATATGACGTTATACCAAAACGTCCAGCTACAACTGGGAGCGTAAAATTTAGCCCGGCCGATAGATTTCCCGAACATTCTGGTGGTGGCGTCAATGACCACGCTCCTGGTCCAGGCCAGTATCTTCCCAATCATAAAGTCACTGTCAAAAGGTCTACTCGAGTCGTATTTTCCCAACTACCGAGACACACGGAGACGGCCGCGCCACCTCGAGCCTCAGTTGCAGTGCCTCCAGCTACCGTTGATGTCGTATCTAGTTATTACTTCGTGCCAGCCAGTGGGTTTGTAAGTCCCGCAGATAGCGTTTCTAAATCTGGAGGTGGCATTCCTAATTGGAGTCGCTCGGCTAGATTTCCAGGTCGACGAGAACGTTTTCGGCAAATTTCGGGTAATTTATCTGCTGTGGACTATATTTCACGTAACAAAACAAAAATTGAGAAAATGTCGGCTGAACAAAGACAAAAACGACGAAATCAACCGCAGATACAGGAGAAAATAAAGCCGAAAGATGCTCAAATCTGCTCAGTGAGACGTCGGGACTCGGTCTTTTGTACGAGTTTGGGTAGTCCTGGTAAAGAAAATAACGCTCGAAGACGAAGAAGTTCTACTGGTTCTGTGCATAACGCAGAGAATTCTGAATCTGAGACTATTTCGTGCGCATGGGGTACAGTAATTGTGCTTTCCGTGGCTCAAACGAAGCTGGTCAGACTGCTCGTGGCTTCATCTGTGCTTCATCGGCTTCGTAAAGCCCAGGAAATGCGCTACAAACGCCTTACTTTTGAGTCCTGGACACAAGTTCGTAGTCGAGATGCCATGCGCTCTTTAGCCGCAGCATTAATAGCTCGCAGTACGTTCCGCTTCCGCTTGAGTCTAAGAGTACAACAAAAAATTCGAGCTGCGAAGCTGCTAAGGATGTTCCTTTCGGGTCTTTCGTTCGACGTTCGATTCGCGATGGCGGTTCGCAGAATGCAGCGACGGATTATGTTACTGCAGCGTTGGTGGCGTCATGCTCGGCTTGTTGTACGTGCTAGAGAGCAATGTCTGGCGTATAAGTGGTTGGCTGTTGAGCAACGTTTACGAATGGAAGCGATTGCTCAGATGCCGCATCTTCAGCGAATTTTCCATCCCCCTTCAGTTCCATTTACTCCTCGCGTGTCTAGTGCCTCGACAAAAAGAAAAACATCAACAATTAGTACTATGACAGCGGAAGCACCAGTCCCACTACACAAATTGCTGTATTTACCGGAACAAAAGCGTTGGTTTAACGCCCGATTCGTGTTGGGTCCTGATGGATTTCTTCGTGGCTACGCAGTCCCTGATTCTGATGCTGAGATCCCAGAGAATACTGGAGAATGTCTAGTAGTTGAGGTGAAACACTTTCGATGTCACGCTCATGGTTTTTCGAATGTATATTTGGGTTCGACCCATGCAGAGGAAGAAGGTGAGAGTGATACTAGGCCTTACTTGATGGTGTTCAAACCTGGTGCCAGTCGCTTCGTGCTGATTACAGACACAACAAGTCTAATCCTTGCACCATTAATGGATTGGAAAGAGAAACTCGAACGAGTTGCCGGATACTCTAACGGTGTATCATACTCGGGTAGTGGATCTCAGAGTGATATCGCGGATATGCTATCGCAAACGGAAAATTTGGGTTTAGACGACCCCGACGAAGAGCCTGTAGTGCAAATTTCACACTCGCGCAGAATGAGTATTTCAAATAATGGTGAACGATCAGGATCGATAACACCAGGCCGCAGACGTAGTAGTCATTGTGCCCTGCGTCGAAGCAATATGCTTCAGCCTATAGCAGAAGGAAACTTGTCGTACTTCGTCGTGGATTTGCTACGTGACTGTCCTCGTATACCAGCGCCGATTGTTTGGAATGCAATTCGTGATAAACTGCGAGAAGAACGCAAGAACTTCCGATCCGATATATACCGCTTTAAACTCGAGATCGCTCGATACCAGCAGCACGAGCACGAACGGCGACAACTTGTCGTGCTGGACAAATTCAAGGAATTCTTCGTACGTAACTACACATTTTATTCTCTTCATTAATCACTAACCACATTTTCCTCTTTCTGTACAGACGATGGAGCGGCCTCGTCGTCCACATTTCCGAAGTCTCATCTCGAATCGGAAAATGGAAGCGCTTGTTCGAGAAACCATGGAGTTTGTGAAAACTACGCAACCTTCTAACCCAAAAATCCTGCTACCATCGTAATTATCCGAATTAAGTACGAAAATATCAGATCGTTTCAAAAACCTAAATCTTTTTTTTTGTTATCGGAGCTGTTGATGGACAAGCGCCATTCCGACAATCGCCACCTCAGGATCACTGTCAAGTATGAAGGCCTGGAAGGTATTATACGTCGCCGCGGTACTATGTCTTCCTCTTGCGGTAGAATGCACTTCATCCGGCCACCATCACTCTCACCACCGAACATCGAGACATCGCTACAGTATCGAAGGCACCAAAGCGGCAATGGACGCTGCGCTGCAGAACCCTCACCCGCGTCTAGATATCCGCAGTATCAAGGCCCTCCAAGACCTCAACGAGGCCGTGACTGCAGACACCAGAGTCCGTGCAGATGTGGTGGGCTCCGACAAGGATGTCGAGGCTTTTGCCGCTGCGGGGGAACTGCACTCGACCACCGAAATCCACAATGGCAAACATATCCGCGGTAAAATATCCACGACTTCAGCTCCGATGAAAGTTCACAAGCATAAGGAATACAGCGAAGAAGCAGTGGTGACTAAAGACAGAGGAGAGGTGACGGCATGTCTGGAACGCACAGAGGGATACTTGGAAGAATTGACGAAAAATCTATCGAGTGACGTTGTGTACACTGAAAATCCGTTCTTCGAGTGTTTCCGACCGTCGCACGAGGTTTTCGACTTCTTAGACACACTGACGGAACAGAATCCGCAGTTTGTCACCAAGTACGAGAACGTTTCAGTCACGTACGAGGGACGAGCGATCCCGGCTTTCAAAATCTCGACTTCGGAAGATTCTTCTAAAAAGACTTTGTATACTCAGGCATTGATTCATGCTCGTGAGTGGCAGGCGGGAGCTGCTACGTTTTACACGATGGCGGCAATGCTCGATGATCTACGAGCTGGGAACGACGCTGCCACCAGACTTTTTGAAAAGTTCGACTGGTATTTCGTGCCTATTGTGAATATTGACGGATACCAGTACACGTGGGAGGTTGATCGTATGTGGCGCACGAATCGCCATTTATCGAAGTTAAACGGCGAAGAAGTGGGCGTAGATTTGAATCGCAACTGGCCGCCTGAGGAATATTTCAATCTTGATCCGAGCGATGTGGACAGTGAGACGTATCCTGGTGATTTTCCTCTTAGTGAACCGTCTACGGCGGGTTTGTTTGACTTTATCACAAATTTGGACTCGTTGAGTGGAATTTTAGACATGCACACTTTTGGGGGTCAAGTGTTACGTCCATTTAGTAACCAACCAGGCGGTGGCGCTGAGCCGTTTGGTTCGAAGATGCGTGCGTTGGGAGACAGTGTTCGCAGAGCGCTATCCACGCAACCCGACGTGCATTATCAGAGTGAGACTGGAGCGTATCTCTACAAAGCTTATGGATGCTTTGACGACGGCATGTACCTCCAGTATAACCTCACGGTGCCAGCGTTGACTATTGAAGTTGAAGGTGGTGACTTTGTGTCACCGCAGAGTACTATCCGACCCGTGGGCAAGAACATTTATTTGGGATTGCGTCAGTTTGCGCATGAAGCTTTAGAATACCGCAAGTTTGTTGAAGAATTGTAAGGCGATTATGAGTTACGGTGATAAAAATAATATGTCGTACCTTCAAAACTAGATCGTCTTCGACTTATCTGGAATACACTTCTGCTTACGCAACGAAAGATACTAGATGTTAGCCATGTATTGATCTTTGAGTGCCAATTCTTGCTTCGCAAACTTCAACGGCTCGCAGTGCGATACAATCTGTAAGGGTAAAACTGGGTCAAACCGACAGAAAAAAAAATGCAACGATGAACGGATGCCACAAAAAATCTATCTGTTAGCTTTTCTCTGGGTACTTCGTCTTGGAGCTTTGATAATCTGTGTTTAGGCTGCCTTCTGGACTAGTTTAGACTGTTTTAATTCGGTAACGGTACCGATTGTATGAACGAATCTTTAGAAGCGACAGAGTAGTCACTCTTCTTCTTTGGCTCACGAAATGCCCCCACTGGATGCGCGGCAGATGCTACGTCCTCGCAAGTCCAAGCTGGTTAGACTTCTACATGGCCACAAAGAGAAAATGCGTGGTTAGCAAATCCTGCGCGTTCGCGACCAAAGATCGATAGGCCTTAACCGTCACGCCAAAATATGTTTAAACATGCTACTTTTGCTCAACGTTCAGGTTACATTCTGAGGTCGGCTGAATGTTGAGCGAGACAACATCGAGGTTATGGAATTAATCCTTTCAGGACTGTCTATTGGAACTCCGTTCCTAGTCAAGCAACACTTCGGACTCGTGAAGAAATATGAAGACTGGATTATTTAAGTGCTAGTCCTGCTCTTCCGAAGCTACTACCAACACTCACGGGTTCAACCCCGCTCCCATACAATGAACTGGCACAACTGATTCTCATCTCATGT